AAGGAACCGCTGGAGAAGCTCAATATCAGCTGTGAAAACTAGGCCAGGAGCTGATTGTGGAACAGACCACCAACTACTCATATGCCAGGTCAAGCTGAAGCTGAGGAAAATTAAACCAAATCCATGAGAACCAAAATATAACTTTGAGTCTATCTCACCTGAATTTCAGAACCATCTCAAGAACAGGTTTGAGGCCTTGAACACAAATGAGAGAAGACCACATGAGTTGTGGGAGGGTATCAACGGTATCATCCAAGAAGAGTGCAAACATTCATTACAAAGACAGAAGAGGAAGAAAAGACCAAAATGGATGTCAGAAGAAACTCTGAATATTGCACTGGAGCGCAGGGAAGGCAAAGCACAAGGAAGAATCCAAGATATTAAAGAGCTGAACAGAAGGATGCTTTAGGCAGAATATTGAATGATCCAAGAAGCATTAAAAGAAGATGGAAGGAGTATACAGAGCCACTGTACCAAAAGGAATTGGCTGACAGAAGAATTTAACGAAACAACATATGTGAGATGAAGGAAGAAGTTGAAGTTGCTCTAAAGGAATTGGCACAAAATGAGGCCCCAGGAATTGATGACATATCTATTGACATATTTCAACAAACAGACCCTGCCCTGGACTCACTTACCAAGCTGTGTCAAGAAATGTAGATAAAAAGAAAAAAAAGATAAAAAAAAAAGAAATGTAGATAGCAACCATTTAGCCAACTGACTGGAAGAGATCCATATTTATTCCCATTCCAAAGAAAGATGATCCAACAGAGTTTGGAAATTATCAAACAGTATCATTAATACAGTGGGTAAGCACGATCTTGTTGAAAATTATCCAAAAATGACCAGAACAGCATATCAATGGAGAACTGCCAGATGTGAAGACTGGGTTTAGATGAGGCCATGGTAGATGGATCTTGGCTGAAAGCAGAGTACCAGAGGAATGTCTATCTGTGTTTGACTATGCAAATCACAACAAACTGTGGCTCACTCTGAGAAGAATGGGAATCCAAGAACCCCTGATTGTGCTTATGTGAAACCTATTCTTGGACCAGGAGACAATTGTCAGAACAGAGCAAGGAAACACTGTTGTTGCTGTTGTTATGTGCCATTGAATCACCTGCGATTCATAGCGACCCTATGTATAGCAGCTCTGAACCCTGCCCTGTCCTGAGCCAGTCTCACTAATTCCAATACACCAACCCCTATTGCCCCGTTACTGTATCAATTCATCTCATCCTAGGTCTTCCTCTTCTGCATTGTCCCTCCACCCTTCCAAGCTTAATGTTCTTCTCCAAGGATGGGTCTCTTCTGGCCATGTGCCCAAAATATGTGAGACAAAGCTTCAAAATCCTAGCCTCCAAGGAGACACTCGATTTTACCCTTTCCTTAAGTATTGCAACTTGAGGTGTGAATTTTTTTTTTAATTTTATTTTGTTTTGTGTGTGTGTGTGCCGTCAAATCAGATCTGACTGGTACAGGAGGAGATCGCCCCTCCTTCTCCAGCAGAGCATGGTTTCACCCTTTCCAAGACAGACCTATTTGTTTTCTTGGCAGTGCATGGTATGTTCAAGACTTCTCCAGCACCACAATTCGAAGGTATCAATTCTTTTTCTGTCATCCTTAGTCATTGTCCAGCTATCTGATGCATAGCAAATAATTGTGAAGACCATGGCCTGGATTAAGCAAGGCTCATTGCATAACACTGCATGGTTCAAAATCAGGAAAGGTGTACACCAGGGGTGCATCCTATCTCCATACCTTTTCAATCTATATCAGAACAGATCATCCAGGAGATTGGGCTCTATGAGGAATGTGGTATCAGGATTGGAGGTAAACTCATCAACAACCTGAGTTATGCAGACGACACAACCCTGCTTGCTGAAACTGAAGAGGACCTGTGGACTTTGCTGCAGAAGATCAAGGACTGCAGCTTCCAATATGGATTGAAGCTCACATCAAGAAGATAAAGATTCTCACCACTGGGCTGATTGGCAGCACCATGACAGATAGTGTTGAGATTGAGATCACAAGGTGTACCTGATCCAGGCCATAGTCTTCACAATTACTTGCTATGCATCAGAAAGCTGTACAATGACTAAGAATGATAGAAAAAGGATTGATGTCTTTGAGTTGTGGTGCTGGAAAAGTGTGGAATACACCACAGACTACTAGGAGAAGAAGCAGGTTCATCTTAAAGAGGGTGAAACCAGGCTGCTCCTTGGAGGCAAGGGTCTAAAGCTTCATCTGACATACTTTGTGCAAGTTGCAAGGATGGACTAGTCCTTAGAGAGGAACATCATGCTTGGGAGGATGGAAGGACAGTCCCTCCATGAGATGCACTCACTCAGTGACTGACATAATTGGGGTAGGTGTGTTAGAGACAGTAAGGTTGGCACAGGACAGGGCTGGGTTCAGAGCTGTTGTACATAGGGTCACTATGAGTTGCAAGCAACTCAACGGCATGTAACAACGACAGTTATGGTCACATGCTGTGTTTATGGAGCACATGTGTACTTATTACGGCATGTATATGTTTATCACACGTCCAGTGTATAGGGAGCTCTGGTGGCTTAGTGGTAAGAAGTTGTGTTGCCATACCAAAGGCATGGGGTTCGAATCCACGTGTTGTTCCATGGACAGTTTTCTTCTGTGCAATTTACTGCCTCTGAAAATCCACTGGAGGGTCAGTTATGGGTTGATTCCAACTTGACCATATCCATCAACCACAGTGTGTTGATGAATCATGTACAGACTTGTTTTTTGTATTGAGGTCTTGTTTTGTGTTATGTGGTTTTGTATCACATATGTATTCATCTTAATGCATTGTATTTTCATGTATCACATAAGCACTTAGTGTATTATGTATCACACATGTGACACTATACTGTGTTGTACACTGTATCACATATTGTACTAGGTTGTATATTTATGTATGTGTTCATATATGTACTTACCTAACTGTGTTGTGTATTTGTGTGTCACGTATGCTCTGTCTTGTATAGTTATGTATGACATGGACTTCCTTAGCATGTTTCCGATTTTCTATTACACTGTGCATTTATTGCCTGGTAGAGGCCAACTCTAGGACAGCAGGGAACCTGCTGGAGGAACAACTGTGAACTGGTTCCAACTCGACAGCAATGCATTTAATTGAGTGGAAAGAATATATGAGTGAGTTTAGCAGTAGATTATAAAAAGACTTCCCCAGGAAGTCCTGTTGTTGCTAAATGCTGTCGAGTGGGAGGTGTGGGGCCTCACACCCTGGGTCTCCTCACCTGGCCCTGGTCCCACCATGACCAGCTGGCCAGAGAGGACTGGAAGATAGGTCTACAGCCAGGTTAGCACTGAACCTATGTTCTCTTCAGCAAAACGGAGACAAAAGCACCCATTCCCAAGAGGAAAGATGGCAAGTCCAATTCAGGCACCTGATTGAGGGTGGCAGATGCCAGGTTGAGATGATCTGAAGGAGCTTTATTCTCAGCAGATAGGGATTTGCTGGCCAACACCCATCTACTCCTGCTGCTCTTCTCCCAAGCCATCTATCCTGAAAACTTCCCTGGGGCTGCCTCTACCCTCACTCCAAGGTCCAGCAACATCCTATTTCTGCAGTCCAACAGTGAGTTGCCTATCTTGAGTCAAGGGTCAGCTCTGTTTAGTCACTGCAATCAAGGGCGGGGTGGGATGGGGGTCACATTGGGGGTGGGGCAGGCTGGTGAAGGGGTCACTACTTGAAGAGACCTGTGACAGCTCTCCTTAGTGAACTCTTCATCGTCCTCACTGGGGCCTTAGCAAAGGGGCTGGCTGAGGGCCAGGACAGGTGTGGGAGTGGCATATGTCCCCACACCTGCCTGCCTACCAGACCCTTGGTCACCCTGTCCAGGGTCCATGCCTGGCATTCAGGGCCTCAGAGGGCACTACTGACCCCCTCGGGTTGCTCCAGGTTGTCTTCCAGTCCAGGGTGTGTGATGCTCAAGCCTGGCTTTGCCATCTTCATATCCCGCAGCTCCTGCAGTGAGTGATCACTCAGCTCCACAGAGTCCAGCCTGCAGCCAAGCACAGAACCAAGGAAACATCATGGGAGGCAGGGTCCTGGGGCAGCGTGAGCAGATGGTGGCACCTCCCAGAGGGAGCAGGGCTAGGTGCAGTGGGAGAGAGAGCTATTTGCTGGACAGGCAGCAGCCAGTCAGGGAGACTGTTAGAGGCTGTAAATGGGGCTTCCTCAGGATCTCAGGTAGGACTCCTTTCTAGGACCCCAGTAGAGACCTCGAACCCCAGTGTGAATAGGCTGCATTTATCACACACGCACACCCCCACCACCCCCACCACCCCCACTTCACCTGGGGTCCTGCAGGCTGCATTTCCCCTTACCTGGGGGCCTGTAGGCTGAATTCCCGGCACAAACCTTCCTCCTATGAGCGCCTGGAAGCTGTATCCCCTTTTAACTCAGTGGCCTGCAGGATGCATCCCCCCCCCCTTACCTGAGGGCCTACCTGCTGCATCCCTCCCTCACCTGAGGGTCTGCAGGCTGCATCCACCCTTTATGTGAGGGCCTACAGGCTGCATCCTTCCCTCCCCCAAGGGCTTGCACGTTAAGTCCCCAGCACAACATGCCTCCTTACCTTAGGGCTTGCAGATTGCAACTGGAGTGCTGCAGGGTTGCACACAGGAAGGTCACAGTGGAGCCAAGCAGCTGACAGCCACTGAGGTCCAGGGTGGTCAGACTCGGGCTCTGCCGGAGCAGGCTGACTAGGTAATGGAGTGCTTCCTGGAGTCCAGGCTGTTGCACCCTGTGGAAGGCTAGTCTTAGGAAGGGCTGTGGGATTCTTCTCGCAATCCCGTTTCTCTGGGTGGGACCTCACCTGAGCACCTGCACGCGGCAGCTGGGCCAGGACAGCCCCTCACACAGCACTCGCAGGCCCACTTCACTAAGACCATTGTGCTGGAGGGTCAGCTCAGTAAGGGCAGGAGCCATCCTCAGGGCCTCAGCCAGGTCTCGACAGACTGAGTCTGGGAGCTTGCAATAGGACAGCCTGTGGTCAAAAAGCAAGAGGGTCCACCTGCAGTCTCCTGACCTCTTCACAGCACCCCAGGTGCACTGTGGGCCATCTCAGCTCCACATCAGCCTTTCTGGGCCTCATGGAGTTTGCTATGTTCTGTGTCTTTTGTCCTATAAACAATGTCCTGTGTTCCATGACTCATGATCTGTCTCCCCTGTCCCATATTGTATGTCTCATAACCCATGGCCCCTGTCCTACACCCCATATCCCATGTCTCATGCCCAGTAATGCACCATCCTGTCTCCTCCACCTTCAGCTTGGCCATGCTCTCCTCCTCCTGGATCTCTGAAGAACAACCTGGCAGGTCCAATCATGCAGCCCCTCAGTCAGGAATTCACCTCTACCTGACCCTTTCCCTCCCCTTGTAGGTAGTTCCTGAAGGCCCCTTCACTTACGTCAGGCTACTCAGATGGCAGCGCTGGTCAATCATGGCTTCACAGAGTGGACGCAGTGGAGAGGCCGATGGTTGTCTCTGAGTGGCTCGGGAATTCCTGGGGAAGAAAGATAAGAAGGTCACTGGGCTCTGTCACCTAGAAAGGACCCTTCACCTCAGGCTGTGCCAGGACACCTTGCCTGCCTCCTAGTCCTGCCCTCTCTCCCCCAACCCCCAGACCCAGAGAGACGTGGTTGTCTTCCCAGTGTTCACCTCCACGTGCCAGGTGTGATATGTGTGAGCCTATGTCCTGAGATTTGCTCTCACACAGATCCTAGGCACCTGTGTCAGGTCTGGAAGGGAGCTGACCTTGCCCTCACGGAGCTGAGCATCGAATGGAAGAGAGGGGGTTCCCAAATCAGCTGAGAGAGCCAGGCTGAAGGTGAGAAGCCCAAAGCTCAGCCAGAAGGTGAGAGTGTTGGGCAGCCCAGGCCCCTGAGTGTGCACTTGAGGGCTTGGGCTGAGGAAATGCAAGCTGGGGAGAGAGTGGGTCTGGCCAGCGCCATGGCATGCTAAAAGATTAGGTGTGCAGAACAGGGGCCGAGCCCACAGGCTGCGAAGCACAGGCTTATTTGTGCTGCTAACCACGTCAAGGGAAGAAGCTCACATTTTTCACCATATCACGGATTCTACTTCTGGGTATATATTTCTGTCTCTCTCTGAACCTCGCTGTACTTTCTGAAAAGCCAAAGCCTATTTTCTTATGTACAATGCCAGGCAGGGACCTCTTTCTCTTTTGCTGCGTCAACTCAGAACAAACTCATGGCTGACCTTCTATTGGATGTAAATCTCAGGGAAGGAGATCGACAGTCCTTCTCTCAAATTTCTTCTGGTGGCCAGAGAGATGCTGCCTTGGGCCAACAGTGCAACCCCCTGCAGACTGTGTAACCAGAGCTCCCTCAACAGGGATGGAATTCTAGTCCGCAAAGGCGGCAGGACTGTTTGTGTTTACTAATCTGTAGATGGAGAAGAGACTCACTCATCAATAATTTTATTTTACTTGGATCTACAATCAACACCCATGGTAGCAGCAGCTTTTTAAAAAAAGCTTCAAAAGACATGTTGCATTGAGGAAATTTGCTGTCAAGGACCTCTCCAAAGTGCTGGAGGGCAAGGATGTCATTTTAAACACTTAGCTGAGCCTGTTCCAATGAATATGACTGGCAGAAGGAGAATCAGTGCCTTTGAATTTTTGTGTTGGAGAAGATCCTGCATCTCCCGTGGACTGTCAAAAGAACAAACAAGACTGCCTTAGAGGAAGTGCAGCCAAGGTGCCCCTTAGAGGTAGGGAGGCTTCATCTCCTACATACTCTGCATGTTTCAGGAGAGGCCAGTCCTTGCAAAAAAGACACCATGCTGGGAAAGGTGGAGGGTCTGTGAAAGAGGAAAAGACCCTCACTCAACAAGAGGGGGCAACTTGGTGACTGTAAAAGTGGGCATGAGTGCAAGGCAGAGATGATGAGGACAGTGCAGGAAGGGCAGGATTCACACGGTCAGGATGAGTGGTGTTTGCTCAGACACCCAACAACAAATTCAGAGCGGGCAGTTAATATCACAGAACCAAACTCACTAATGCCCGATCCATTCCTATTGCTGTTGCCTGAGGTTGTAAGCAAGCAACCCACCTCATCTCTCTACTAAGGGCAGTTGGTGGCTCCAGGCCATTCCTTAGTCCAGGCTGAGCCCCACACCACCAAAACTCCTTAAATAACAGCAAACCCACTGCCAGTCCAGGTGCCTCGAGAGCAACCCTGTCAGGTTTCCAGTCCATGAACTTTACGAGGAGAGACTGCTGATGTTCCAGTTAGCAGTCCCACACGCTGTCACCAAGCATTACACAAGGTTAATGGACATAAACAGCTCGTGAAACAGTGCTCATAAGCCAGCCGTGGAGCTGCATAAGACTTAACATGACCACCTTGTTTATAGCTCTTCTGTCCTTGAGACAGGAGCTTCTTGGCAAGTGGGCAAGTGGGCGACAAAAGTAGCTCTGAGGTCCCTCCCTCCCATCAGTAAAGTCCCTTGGGTGTGGGCCCAGGCACACCTGCGAAGTGCACTGCAGGAGTCCACATACCCCTTTGCATGCAAGTCAGACCTCGGCCTGGGGCCCTCAGTGAAGACTCACCCGCCGCCCAGGCTGCCAGACAGCCACTTCACTAGACTCTTCTTTTTCTTCTCCTGCACCACGCTCAGCCGGCAGCGGAGCAGCCGCAGCGCCTGGCCCTCTGGGCATCGTTGCACGCAGTAGCTCAGCACCTGGAGGTCCATACGTCCAAAGTGCACTCTCTCCAGCACCAACTCCGGCAGGCCGTGCAGGGCCTGGCGCACGAACTCATCCTCCTGCGTCTCGTACAGGCAGTACAAAAGCTCCAGCGGCTGGTTGAGCTCCTCATCCTCATCCTCGGGCTCGTTGGCCCCCTCCAGCCCGTTGCTCTCCAAGGTCCCCTCCGGTGCCGCCATCGAACGGCCCTGCCTTTGCACCCACTGCAGGGCATGTTGCTTCACGCGCTCAGAGACCACACAGCCAAAGTGGCGCTCGATGTCGCGCATCCGCTCTGCGCTCAGCAACCCGAAGAGGAAACGCGTGGTAAGCGTGAGGTGGCCCCGCAGCAGCTCGGCGTCCCCGCACAGAAGCGCCCCCACGCCGCCCGCTGGCGCCGCAGAGGCCCCTTCCTCCTCCAGCAGGTAGGACAGCGCGGCAAAGAACTCCTGGAAGCTCTGATCGATGAACTGGTAGACCACCACCGCTTCCAGCACACCTGGCATCTCCTTCTTGATGAGAAACAGCTTCTGCACTCTTGAGCTACGCAGCTCCAGTCGCTCCAGGTCCTTCTCAGCGAACTGCGCCCTGCGCCCTAGGACGCCTTCCCGAGCCAGGCGGCAGAGCTTGCGCAGCTCGCCTTGTACCTCGGTTTCGTTGACGGGTGCCTCGCAAGACAGCAGGCTCACGATGAAGAGCAGGTACACGGACGTAGTGGTCTTGGAGGTGCGCGACAAGTCCTCGCCGCGCTCCAGCTGCTGACGCAGCACGGAGCACACGATCGAGCACACGAAGGGCACAAAGCACAGCGCGAACAGGGTCTCATTTTCCTTCACAAAGCGATAGGCGCGCTCTGCCCTGCGCTCGTCCCGGAAGAATTTGTAGAAGTACTTCTTCTTGTCTTTATCGGAGAAGCCGCGCACCTCCGCACACTGTGGGGCGCGCAGATGGCCCTGCAGCTTCCCAGGCGTCGTGGCGCGCGTCGTCACCAGCAGGCGGGCCTTGGGTAGCAGCGCCTTGCTCAGCAGTGCGCGCAGGATCTGCGCGCCGCTGGTTGCCACAAATGGGTCCGTGCAGGTCGCTGCCTCTGCAGGTCCCGGCAACAGGAGTTCGTCTGCGCCATCCAAGATGAAGAGCAGCCGCTCTGACCTCTCCAGCATCTGCTGCACAGGCGCGCTGCGGTCAGGACACTGGTCCAGGACCAGGTCGGCCAAGCTGCGAGAGCACTGTCGTTCCAGCAGTTCATGACAAGACAAGAAGAAGGCGAAGTCCACCTGGTCCTGGTACAGCTTGCCCGTGGCCCAGTCATACAAGATCTTCTTGGCCGCCATGGTCTTGCCGATGCCGGCTGGGCCCTGGAGTACCACAGTCAGCGGCCGCCGGCCGTCCTCGTCACGGCGGAACAACCTCTTGAAGGTGTTAGTGTTGGAGCGCCTCGCACGCCGGGGCTCTGGCTCCTCCACGGACCCCAGCGCCTCATCCTCCGAGTCAGAGCTCTCTGGCGCGATGAGCAGCTTGGTGAAGCGCTTGGTGATCTTGACAGAGCGCGCATTCCTCTCCTTCACCTTAGCGTGCAGCTGCAGCACGTGTTCCCGATACTTCTTCTTGTACTCTTGGGAGGGGGTGGGTGGAGGGTGGTTGTGCAGGCTATGGCAATCAACTTTCTAGGCCCACGCCCTCCCCGCTGGTTCAGGCCACAGTCACCCTGCTCCCCTGTCTTCCCAGCCCTCCCCTTGCTGAAGCCAGCCTCGAGGCTGGGGCCAGACCTACCAGACAGTGAGAGCTGCGGTGAGGGGCAGGGGCCGAAGCCTGGAAGAGAAAATTATTGTGAGGCCCTGCCAAGTGCCCAGGGTAGAAGATTGTGGGTGATCAGTCACCCACAGGAGGCCCCAGGGGACCAGGCCCAGCTGAGCAGATTAGGACAGCGCTTTCCTAGGCTTTTCCTGGAAAAGCGTCCTGGGGTCTGGGCTTACTGGCACAGGTGGAAAGGAAGGGGTTTGACCCTGCAAACCGTGGCCGTGGCCGCGGACTCACACTGCAGCCGCTGTTCCTTGAGTCGCTCAGCCACATCACGCGCGTCTGACCTCTTCAGGGACTTGCGGGCTACTTCCAGCGCTCCCTCTGGTCCATAGAACTCTACCAGCCTCTCGACCAGGTCGATGGCATCCGCGTTCTCCAGTCGCCCCCAGGGGATGCTGCGGCTGCCCTCAGGCGCGCCCCGCAGCTTGTGGCGGAAGCGCTTCAGCTGCTCCTGGCTCAGATCCTCCAAGGCGGCCAGGAGCAGCTCCCGGCAGGCCACAGCGCGGTCTTGCCTGCGAGGATGTGGGCAGTCAGCGTGCGCACCGTTCCTCATCGACAGAAGCACCGAGCATTGTCGCTCTACATGGAGCGGTGGCCTCAGAACACCCTGGGTGAGGGCAGCTTGAAAATGGGCCTCTAGCTCTGGCTCTGCCTCTGGGTGGTGAAATGGCTCTCCATGGTGGCCACAGGCCCGCCACTGACTGACTAGATGCTGGGCAGGGATGGGGGATGTCAGGAGTTTCCCTTCCCTGACCCTGTTCTCTCCTTTCTCACCTTCCCTGAGGACATTCAGAGGGGCCACCCCAAGAAGAGGCCAGGCCTGGCTGTGTTCTTGAATTCCCTGGGGGCTTGGGAACAGGGGCCTCTCTAGGCTGACACCTGGTGGGACCCCCAGTCTCTTCCTAGAGATAGGGTGGAGTGAAGTGGGACAGGACATGTACCTGAGCCCCACAGAGCTGAGACCTACTGGTTCCCTGGTGGTCCTGGTGAGTTCTCGGGAGCAGGTACTCACCTGGAGCAGGACGCCCCTGGCTCCTCCATGGAGGACTGTCCTGCAGTTTAGCACTCAGAAGCAGGGGCCAGGATCAGAGTCCTTCTAGAGCTGGTCTGGAAATTACACTGCGCTCCATGCCCCAGAGCCAGACGCCCCGTGTGTCCAGCACCAAGACGTCTGGCAAAGTCCCCCCAGCTCCAAAGCTGTGGCTAGGGCTCGTGCACCTGCACACTTAAGATTTCTGACCTTTGGTTGACAGATTTCTTTATTTGGTTAAAGTTCTCTGAGAACCATGGGTGTGGCTTGGGAAGGTGTATTGTGTAGGTGTGACTATGTACAGGTGTATTGGGGATTTTGGCTGTGGATAGGTAATGCTTTGTACAGCAGATGTCTAGCTCAGAACAAAGTCCTTCACTTTAAAGTTTGGAGATAAGTTCGCTCCAATGGCAGGAAGAGCAAGGACTCCCAGGTACAAGAATAAAGGACATTGTTGTGTTGTCATGGAAAGAAGTATTCCCACCTGTGGATGAGACAACAATGGATGGGGCACAGATGGGTTGTGGGCTCCAAAAGTCTGTCCTGAGTCGATAGAAATAAGTTTGGTTTTGAGAAATGTGAGTGGCTATCCAGGGACAACAGGTGACCCCACGGGTGTATGGCTCCAGCGAGTGCGTGTGTGCATGCTCTGAGGTGTGAAGTATGTGGGTATGAGATGCAGCTGTGTGTGCCTGTGATAAGGTGTGCTTCAGGTTACACCTCTCAACTTTGTGATGTGGCCACAGATGAGGAAACAGAGGCACAGAGAGGTTAAGTGGCTGGCTCAAGGTTGCACAGCTATTGGGAAGTGGAGCCAGGACATGAACTTAATCACTCTGCTCGGGTTTGTGCCCTTAATTGTTCCATTTTCTGTCTAAAATTGGCAATGAGGTGGTGCCAGGTATTACATAGCCCTTTTTCAGGCATGTGGTCTTCAAGGAGATGTGTGAGCAAGGCTTTAGGAGATGAGTGGTCTCTGAGAAGCCAGTGCCTGGAGCCTGTGTCCATGCTTGCATGCAGGGTATGATGGGGGGGAGGGTGTGTTACTGTGCCGTGACCAGTGCTACTGGCCTCTGAGCTCTGAAATGTCTCTACGTCTTTCCAAGTTGTTGCTTTGCCTTGTTAGACACCCTCTGCAGAACTCCATCCTGTGAGGAGCTAAGTCCAGGGACAGTCCTTGGTGGGAGCAACAGTCCTGGAAGCTGTGACAATGCTCAACAATGTGACAATGCCTTTTCACTCATGCACTCTCCCAAGTTCCTGCCCTTCACTTATGGACTCACAGTGCCCCTTCAGAGTTGGTAAGGGCAGTGTGGGACATGTGGCTGCCTGTCCAGTACTTCACCTCAAACCACATGTGACCGAGGGTTTGTCCCTAGGAACCTGATGCCTGCTTAGACCCAGCTGCTTATATCCGGTTTGCTGAGTGTTCCACACTGTGCTCTGGAACAGCATCTCATCCCATTCTGGGTCTGGTCCAGGGGAGGCAGTTAGTATGCTATCCATCTGAGCCTCCTGCTCTTGGGAATCTTGTAATAATAAGAGAGAGTTGTTCACAGGCATGGACATCCTTCCTAAATATCACTTGCTGACCAAAGAGCCCTGGTAGTACAGTGTTAAGCACTCAATTGCTAAACAAAACGTTAATGATTGGAAGTCACCAGTTGGTCTATGTGAGAAAGATGTGAGGATTGCCTTTGAAAGAAAGAAAAATATGTGTATCCTCGCTTCAAAAGTTACAAGACAGAGTTAAAGCTGAAACAAGAACCCTCTTCTGAAGATTATGAAGAGAAACTCCCTTATCCTTGTTCTTTTTGTTAACCAGCCAAAGCCAGTTTCTAATGCACTATCATCCTCTGAAACAAATATATTCCAAGCTTCCTCAAGCCCTAGCCCCTGCCTTTCAAGGCTCCTCCTTTCAAGCACAGATCAAATTCGCAAACCTCATAGGAACAAGACTGTGAGGTCAAAACCCTTGACCTTTACAAATAGAGTGAGACACAGCCTTAGCTATTGCGTCAAGTGGACTTCCTGCTGGTGTGCTTGTTGGTCAGAGTTAGGTCTGCCCACACAGCCTTCTGCAGAAGTAAAATGCTTTGCCAAGACCTTCTGTTCTGCCATGTTTATGTCATGACACCGAGCCGCATTTCTAACAGCTTCCCCAGAGATCACAGCCTTGAAAATGCTTTAGCAGTCCTGCTGTTTCCTCTGGGGCTCTATGACTTGGAATTGACTTGCTAGCAACAAGTTGAGTTTTGTTTTGGCTAGACTGGCCCTATCTCAACTTCATCAACAATTCACCTGGAGGACCATGACCTGGAAACTGAGGACCACAGAATAGAGGTGGCTCATGGACACAGTCCAGGTGGAGGTTGCACTGGAACAGGTGGCTGAGATGTAGCCCAAATACCTCTACTTCTGCTTATTCTACTGTAGCCAGGATGCAGAAAGGCCATAGGGCTTGTGATTTGAGGATGTCAAGACAGCATCCTCAACTCCCTAAGATAGAACCCACCTTGAGTGGACTCTGTACTCCATAAGTTCTCAGCATCTGCTTTGGAAAGGATGATGATAACAGGAGCCAGTGTTTCCACGAATCTGTTGCCTGTAGGAGCAATGTGGGTGAGTGGGAGGCATGGAGATTAGGAAAGTATGTTGGGGACTATGTGGGAATGAAAGCAGATAGTAGGGGCATAGCTGGAACAGAGGAGAATGGGAGAAGGGAGTAAACAGATGAAGAAAAGGAAAAAAGGTAAGGAATGGGGACCTATCTTGGCAATTAACAAAAGTGAATTTAGAATTTTTAACATACAAGCTTTAACTTCTGAGCAGAGCTATTTACAAAGATCTGGCTGGAAACTATTAACATAGGATTTAGTCTTCACTTGAATTTCTACTAAGGGTCCCGCCCCCCATAGAACTTATACTACACAACAACATATCATGAAAATTTGTCAGCATTTCCTCTTTACTCTAAATTCTTCACTTATGGAAGCTAGGAACCTGGTCTCCCTGGACTTCTCTTGACTATCATCTAATTCTCTTGTATCTTCTCTCCCATCAACCCTTTTCCTTAAAAAACCTAGTCTTTGATCAATCCATATGCCCCTTCTGAACAGCATCTTTCTTTGCCTGCTCTGACCAGTTCATTTTTATGTCAAACCAGAGAAAGAACCATACAACAAACTCACTTTTGGAAGATTTGTGAAGGAGAGAACAAAATTGATCTGGAGCTATGCCACATCACTATACCAACAAATTTAATAGTTCAGATGAATTGGACAAATTCCTAGAAAAACATAAACTACCAAATCTGACTCAAGAAGAAATAGAAATCCAGAAATTGCATTAGCAATAAAATTAAAAGAAATTTTTTTTTAAAAAAGCCCCGAAGGAAAACTTAGACCCAGATGGTATCCCTGATTAATTCTACCAAACATCAACCCCCCAAAATTCTTGCTTAACATATTAAAAATGGGGACATTAATGACATAGATGAAGTGTGTGTCCTCCCCAAATGTAATGCTGTATGTAATAATATATGTTGTTGTGTTCCATTGACTTAGGAACAACTCATAGTTGACCTTGCAGTAGGCAGTAAATCAGAGACAGTAGACTACCTATCTTTCTCCCATTGCGCTGTGGTGATTTGAACTGAATGCCTTTGGGTTGGCAGTGTGACTCCTTACCACTAAGCCACCAGAGCTCCCTATATTGATGTGCTATGGAGGTTACAATTACAGCTTGATTGGCTCCACAATCAACACTCTCAGCACCAGCACTCAGCAAATCAAAAGATGAACTGCATTGGAGAAATTGGATTCATTCTTAACTAGTGCATATGGAACTTTTCAGAATAGACTATATGGTAGGTCACAAACAAAGCCTCAGTACATTAAAAACAAAACAAAACACATTGAAATATCACAAAAACTCTTCTCAGATCACAGTGGGAGTTAAAAGGGGTGGGGAGCTCAAGTACATGGAAATGAAATGCTTGTACATTATTTGGTAGTAAAAGAAATAAGAAAGATAATTTTGGAAATTTCCTACAACATATAAGAACAAAAGCAGAACGTACCCAAAAATCTTTGGAGCAAAAGAAAAGCAATACTCAGAGGTCAATTTATAGCGATAAGTACACATAAAAAAAAAAAAAGAGCCAATATCAATACCTTAACCCCACATCTCTGACAATTAAAAAAACCAAAACAAAACAGCAAGCAAAGCTTCTTCTCAACAAGTGGTGCTGAGACAACTGCATCTCCAACCCCATAAGAATGAAATTAGACCCCTTTCTCTTCAGATACTAATTAAACCAAAATGGTTGGTAGGCATGAATATAAAAGTTAATACTTCAGGGGGAGAATTCTTGGAACCAAGATGGCAGTGGCTTCCTCCCTCTGCCTACTGATGAGCCCACGCTGCTGTGACCTCATTGGGGCTGCTGGGGACCATGGGTCCCTTAGCCTAGACTAGGTGTCGAGCGTGGGCCCCCACACAGCCTGCTGGCCCTGGACTCCCAGAGTGGGAGCAGGGATGGGGGGGGTGCCGTGGCTGCACGGCAGCAGCAGCAACGCCATGGCGAGAGGTGAATGTCTCCATAAGGGACAGCATCTCTTTGTCAGTTGATATTTCCTGGGACAGGCCTGAGAAGAGAATCACCAATACAATGGATTGATAGGATTTTCATGGGCTGTCTATGGCTCGATGACACTTAACAGTGGCAGCATGTCTGAGACGGCAGATATGTTCAATGCACCACATATTTTAATCTGTTGACTGTCTCTGCCAAGAATTGTTTGGACCTGGGGAGGGTCTGTTCACCACTCTCAAGTCCCCTTCTCCATTTGTAAAGGGGGAGACGCAACCATCTAGCCCTCGGGGGGAGCCACCTGGCCCTCGAGGGGAGCCATCTAGCCCTCGGGGGGGAGCCATTTGGTCCTCGGTATGAGCTCCTCGGCCCTCGGGTTGTGCCATCCGACCCCATGGATAGAAAAAACTGCCTAGG